GACAAAAGTGCACTTCTGAACATATGTTAATAGAACCATATCTATTCTTTGTCCTGCCAGGAATTCATTCCCAAAGTTTGTCCACATAGTTTGAAACCATCCTGTACGTTGAATTCTTACAAACTGTTACTTAAATAGAAACAAGTATTGAAATAATAAATAACAATTTTCAGTTATTATGTGAATTTTTATAAGAGTGGGTAGTAAGAGTAAACAGCATTTCATCAAATATTATATAATTAACAACAAAAAACAAAATGCAAAAGAAAATAATCTTAGGCATGTGCATAAGGTCTATATTCAGATGTATTAATTAATTAATTAATAATAATTTATATTTCAAATGTTGTTGTTATTATTATTATTATTATTATGTATTGCACTTTATAAAATATACATGTAATATTTCTTAACACACATTCTACTATAACAGCTAGAATTTTCTGTAGATTTCAAAATACTTTCACAATATTTTAAATATTTATACAGATACTCAAAGTAAGCTTTTCTAACAAATTATATTAGAAAATATTGTTCTTTTCAGATCTTATTCAGTTAAAACATTCTCATAACTTAATTTAAAAAAGCTACAGATTAACCAAGAATTTCTCCCACACCGGGTCATATAAAACCTGAAAATTTGGCCTGAAGAAGAGCCCAGGAGGGGCATCGAAAGCGTTTGCCAATCTTTGTGTGGAGTTTTCACGCCGGATATTGGTTAAGAAGTAAGCATATTTGAACTACAGATTATTTGTGAAAATCAAAATTTTAACTGAAGTTTTATGTACTGTAATTTTGTGCAGATAACCCACGGGTTATCTGTGGTGGCTTAAAAGGAAATTTTAAAGTTGGCATGGGTTATGCAAAAGGAGTATTTTAAATTACAATCATCAACTCATCAAACAGATTTTCCTGTATCTAAAATTAAGAACATCTTTAGAAAACATGATAAAAAAAAGGCTTTACACACTATAACAAATTTATCTGTTCATTATAGTTTTTTCTGAAATTACTATATGCACATGTGCACATAACTATCTGTTAGTTATCTCCTATTTATTTTCTGTATGTTCAATCCATGCTTTAATTGATATTATCAGACACTTATTTAAATCTGCATCTTAAAAATTGATAAATTTCTAGTAATTATCCTTTATCTATATAATAATAATATCATTTTCAAGAACTTTGATGAATAAGACACATGATGCAATAATTGTCATTTCAATTAGCTATAAACTCACTGCTCTAAGGGCTACTATAAAATGAATTTGATGACTAAAAATAGTTATAGAATTTAAAATTAACCCTAGCTTGACTGTGCAATGTTTCATTTTGTTTACATATAACAGTATTACTCTCTGTTATTATTGGGTTGTTCAGAAAGTAATTTCGTTTTTTTACCACCAGAGAAATTAGTTGTATTTTTACCCACCAACTTCATTTTAAACCGTATTGTCATTATATATTTTGACAGCTGACATTTTAAGGCTTATCTGTAAAAAATTTTGTTTGATTCTGTGCAATTGTTTTTTTTTGTGTCCATCAAATATGGAAATCGAAAGCAGGATTTTTGGCATATTTTGCTTTGTTACCAAAAAGGTAAAAATGCTGTTCAAGCAAGAAAGAAATTGTGTGACATGTATGAAGATGTGTTGACAGAACAACAGTGCCAAAACTGGTTCACAAAATTTCATTCTAGCAATCGATTTTGAAGATTCACCCCATTCTGGAAGGCCAGTTGAAACTGATGAAGACAAAATAAATAGCTACCGAATAACAACATGAGAAATCATTAAGAGATTAAATTTGTCAAATTCAACCGTTTATGATCACTTGACTTGGTTTTGTTTCAAAGCTTGACATACAGGTTCCACACATTCATAAAGAAAGATTTGCCCCGTCGCATTGACATCTGTGATTTACTTCTCAAACTCATAGAAACAAAACACCTTAATTTGTTGCTGAGAAATATATATAATTGAAACAAACAAACGTTTTCAGCTGATTAACAGGCCATCTTCAGGTCAAAAAACAAAAATGAAACAGATACTTCTCAAACGTCAAGAAAATGACCCATTTTTGAAACAAATCATAACTGGCGATGAAAAATGGATTGTTTATAACAATGTTGAACACAAGCAGTCATGGAGTAAAAAAGATGAACTGGCTCAAACTACAGTGTAGAAATTTGTTTTATGTTAATTAAAATAACATTTGTAAAAAATTTAAATTATTATAACTTTCAAGTTAGAAGATACATAAAGATTTATTTTACTACTAATTTTTTTAAAGATTAATCTGATGAGAATTTCAGCATCTTATTGGATGACCTAACCATTACAGCTTTTACATTTGAACAAGTTGTTGCCTAGAAACAACTTTTTAATCACATCACTTTATCTCTGTTTTATTTAGCAAGTATTAATAAAATATAGTAATAATAAATGCTAAAATAAACTTCAAAAAAATTAAATAAAAAATAATTTTAATCTCTTAATTTCAAGCTTAGTTCATACAGAGAATAAAATAATGAAAGTCAAAAGATAAACAAGATCAACCAATTACTGCATCAGCAGTGATGTCCTTCCCAGCATTTTTTAGTTTTGCAAATCAAGATTGCATTTTAATATGTTAAACTTTATAGCTTTGTGTTTTCTAATGGTAATATTCAATAATTTAAACACAGCACCTATAAAAAATATGCTTTCAAATTATATTCTTACAATTATTACAATTAATTTGGAAATTTTCTTTTTGATTAGTGGACAAGCAAGCATAAAAACAACTTATTGTATCTTGTTTTAACAATTTTTGCTGTAGTTCACTGATGATTGCAATTTCATAAAGTGAGAACAGTGAAATGAGCAATGGAAATCAAATTTGCTTTGGAAAAATAAATCATTTTTTACATTCTGCTTTTGCTAGTCAGTGAACATCTGAACTAGGTTTAAAGTTTTCCAAAATGAATAATGGATAAACAGTCAACTCTATCCCACATCAATGAATATTTTGAGCATAAAATTATTTTCTATTTAATTTTTTCTAAGTTTAACATCTATTATTACATATTTTATTAACACATTATTAAATTACAATTTTCACATATTTATTATTATTATTTAATAGATAATATTATTATTATATTGTTTCATTTCTATTTTTTCTTTTCTTTTTTTTTGTTGTCATTTATTAGATTTTTGTAGATACAAATGCCAACTGGAGTCCAGATGATTTCCTCTCTCTGTTCCATATTTCATTTCACTTATTTTATAATTACATCTAGTAATAAACATCTAATGAAGTGTAATAGAGAAACAATGTTTAAATGTTTCAGACTGTTCTTTAAACTGCATACTAGGAATGTCATGCTGCTGACAGATGCTCTGAAGATGTGAAATATAGAAGAGTAGATTATGCAAAAGTTTTATTTCTGTTCTATCATTTTCTATGGGATATATGCCATGATGGGTTATCTGCACAAAACTCTGGTAATTTTATACTTTTATACCACTCCATACTTTTCAATAATTACAAACTCTCATATATTTGTTCAAATGTCATATTAATTTCTATTAAAGTATCCATATTTTATGTTATACTTATTGTATTATTTTCTAAGTTAATGCTTGTTTATATTTTATGTATAATGAGAGAATTTTTATGTAAAAATTTTTATAAATTGTTTGTTTGTACTTATTCTTTTACTCTCAATGTGTATTACACTTTAACTAAACAAACATTTTTGCCCATCCTTTAATGATCATCTTCAGGCCTCATATATGTTTTATACTCAATATAGTGGCAATTTTCTTCAATATAATTAAAACTTGTTTTTAAATTATATGATTAATATTAAATATTTAAAAATCATAAATTGTTCTTTTTTATTTAATCATTGTTCAACAAGTTTAAAACAGAATTTTAAAATGTTTAATTTATTAATCATTAAAAGTTTAACGATGTTTTCATTTGATGGATTTTACTAAGGTATAAATTATTACTGATTGAAATCAAGTATTTTATTCTGTTCATGTCAGTTCATGACTCATTAAAGTTATATAAAGTTCAGATTCTAATATTTATCTATTTTATTTCAAAATATAATATAAAGTAATATATTACATATTACTTTATATTATATTATGAAATAAAATAAATGAATATTAGAATCTGAACTCAACTTTAATCTGTCATCAACATTTTGAAAATCTAATTATTTTAAAGAAACTTACTTAGAACTTTAGAGTCCAATTGTATTTTTCACTTGCTCTGTAAAATATTTTTTAGTTTATGTTTATTCTGTATTTATTTTGAGCATATGAAATGGAAATTTTGTTACATAAATTTTTAGAAACAAGTTTATAATCAGATGAATACGTGCAACAATTTCAAACGAAAATATAAATTTTACATTTTAAATGAATCAGATATAATTTGAATATAAATTATTAATAAACTCTAATTCTATCATGCATAAATAATTGTAAATAAAGTCATAATAGTTAAAAATAAAAAAAGATTATAAAACAAATACAGATAAAGAAGTAAAAGTTTATAACAGACATAAAAACAAAGTTTATAATAGACTTAATTGATGTAATAAAATGGATCCAAGTTTTGTAAAATATCAAAGAATTCTACTATACAATATTCTTTTATATATATATATCATATTGCTCAATAAGTATTTCTGAATTATGTATAATAACAGATTAATTAATAGAGAATAGGCAAACCAAAACTTTTCAAAACTTGTATAATTTTATTTTATGTTATTGCATCTTCAATCGACTATAATTTTTGCCAACTGAAGTTTTAATGAGGAAAAAATTAGACTATTTCATTTATTATTCCTCTGGAGTCAAAATTTAAAAAATAATCTGTAATCAAGAACCTGAAATGAAATGTTACAATTAAATGTTATCAAATAAACAAATATAGATTTCAATTATGGTGTTGATAAAGTCTATTTTAAAAACATAATTTGATATACTCACCAAAGATGTCATACTTAATGATTTAAGTGTAAGCTTCAATGGTTGAGGATAAACTGTTACTTCATTGACAGGATCTTTCTATAAAATAATTTATTTGTAAATAAGATTTTTCTACTCTAATATATACATATTTATTAGAATTAAATTAAATTAACTTGTTCATTAATAATTAATATTAATGACAAATATGTGGTATGCATGTGCAAAAATAATGTTAAAATATATCAGACATTTTTAATGGTACTTTCATTTAATAAATAAAAAAATAAATAGAATATGAATAATTAAACAACATTAATTATTGTTATGCATGACTACATCCTAAGAATAAAACTCTTATGTATTTTATTACATTCATCATCATCATCATATAAAAACACTAATGTATCATAGAGAAATTTTATTTATTGGTAAATTAGCAATATATTTATTTATAAAATTAGTATCTTTTAAATTGATGAAATTAGAATATTCTGTTCTCCTAATCAAAATTAAAATTTTTGTGAATTATAACAGATATTTATAAAGACTAAGTTATTACATTAATTACTTAAAAGATTTTATCTATATATATAATATCAAGAATTAAAATTAAGCTAAAACTATATTCACATTTTCATTCAACAAACACTGTATTACACATTACATTTATTAAATATTTGTCATTTTCTAAGCTTAAAAAGCAATACAAAAATAATCAAAATTAAAATAAGATCATACAGTATACATTTGGAAAACAATCATTTACATATCTAATTTTCTATTCTAAATATGCTATGAATGTTATATATAATGTATATCATGACAAACATGCAGAACAAAACTCTATACTACACTGTACATTTATAAAATTTACATAAATTCAGAAATACATACATACATTTCAAATTTTTCAAAACATTTTCATAAATATATCATGAATAATTATTATTCACAATATTATTTATGATTAATTTTATAAATTTAAGAAATATCTTATCAACTTTGTGTATATAAACATATCTTTTTACATTATTATTATTATTAGCTAAATTAGTTATAATTCACCAAGTCTTGGTTAAATTGGGAAGTTATTAATAGAAAAGAAAAATCAACAAGGCACTAACTCTAATACTTCCACTAATATCTTTCAGCAACAATGATATATCATGCACTGCCAAAATGGATGAGATTAACATTTCACCACTGTCTTTATATATGATATAGTAATATTTTGATATTGACAACTAGTAAAATAATTGTAAATAATATGATCAGGTATCATTGGTGAAATGTTCAAATATATACAAATAATATGCTACAGGTCTACCTACATGCATCAGCCATCAGACAGGAGAATGCATGCATTCTTATCAGTGTTTTTGTTTTAATACCTGATTTAAATCATCTGATGTGTGAACTTTGATTGATGGCACTTCTGAATAATCTTCACAATGATGTGCCTGTTCATGTTTAGCAAATTTCTTTGTAAAAATTCCTTTCTTATTTTTGTGATTTACAGAAAAATTATCTTCTAAAGATTTTAATGATGTTATTTCTGTTAAAGACTTATTTCCATATAATCTAGATGAAAATGATTTTTCATTTGTTAAAAATTTATTCTTCCAACAATTAATTTCTTTTTCAGAATATTTCCTCTTTTTCCATTTGATACTCTGAAGTGAAATATATTTATTATGAATTTTATTAGTTGAGTGGATAAGATTGGTTAAACTGCCATTTCTTCTAATATTATTAATATTAATTTTTCTTTTGTAGAGGCTTTTACCATTAGTCTTAAGTTTATCACAAAAATCTCTTTTACTGGAAGAAAACTTGAAAGTTTGAGAATTATTTACATTTTTTACACTGTCAATGTTATGTGTATCAAGATCTTTTTGTGAAAACTGTATTACAATCCATGGCTTATGTTTAGATTGAAGACTTTTTCTAATTTTTGGTGAAAACTTCTTAAAAAAATTTGAAATGCTTGAGCTGCATGTTTCATTATAATGCAAGTTACAAATTCTAGATGATGGTAATGTTAATGATTTTTTTGATACATGAATTTGTTTTGGAGATGAAGGAACACTTTTGGATAAAATTATTTCAGGTGAACATTTTTCTTCTATTGATTCATATTTTAGAGGAGAAAAGTTCTTTTTGTAAAGTTTAGATTCAACTGATATGCAAGAAGTATTCCGAACTGCTTGAGCATAATTTTCTGAACGATAATGTTGAAATTTAGCATGAATTTCAAGAGCATTGAACAAACATGGTTGAGCATATTTAGATGTTTTATCAGCATTAAAGAAATATTTCATATCTTCAGGCTGTTTCATATTGGAACTACTCATACTGTTTAGATGATATTCTTCTGATTCTCCTGAAAAGTTTAATATTGTATGATCTAAAATTTATATAGTATTAATATAACTTTAACATTATATTATTTATATATAAATAAAGAAAATTTTTCTACATTTAATGGTTAATGTATAGTTTATTAATTTTTAATGAGAGTATGTAATATATTCTAAAAAAATTGTTATTTAGATCTATAAATTTAAGTGGAAATTTCATATAAAATATTTTAAAAAATAGTAAAAATTTATTTATTAAATAATTATATGAAACATTTAATAAAATTATTGGTTTTACATTTTTGAACTTGCAGACAATGTAAAATAATGATTTAATTATAATTATATTTTTGTTTTTACAACAAATTTGAATAAAAACTCAATTTTAGATAAAAAATTTCCATAATAAGATTTTTATCTTCTTGTCATATTATCCAATGTTTTCCCCATTAGAACTACTTTTATATTTGGAAAATGGCTTATAATTCCTTTTAAAAATGAAATAAGAAATGGCTTTATATATATATAGAGTAAGGCATTTTTATTATAATTATTATATTTAAATTAATATAAAATAAATCATATGGTAGTTTAAATACAATAGAGCATCGATTATCCGACTCAATTGAAGACTCAGGTTGGTCAGATAACTAAAAAATCAGATAACCGAAAAGAAGGAAAAAAATGCGTTATTAGTATAGTATATTAGGATATTAGTATATTCCATGTAATTAGTTTATTAGTATATTGCTATTAACCAACTTTGTGTTGAATTTTCATCGATGTTTAGCCTAACAAATTTTTTTATTTTAAATAATAATCGTTGCTATTGTATCATTAAAAATTATTTTTAAATTATTTTATTGCTCACGAAACAAACAACCACTCATAATTAGAAAATTAAGTCTCGTTTAAATATTGGCCTCCCTTCAATGGTCGAGCCGTTGATGCCAGCTAAAACACGCAAATATTTAACAAAAATAATATTAAAGTAGCCAAGATATAGCCAAATATTGTAATGCCACATCAATAGTGGACATTTGAAATTTGCCGACAAGAATGGTCGGTTAACTGATGTGACGGTTAATCGGGGGTCGGATAATCGATGCTATACTGTATATTAGTTTTTTATTTCTAAAAACAATTTTGTAATATTATTCTTCAAAGATAAAACTCATCAAAACAAAAATTATTGGTTCATCACCATACACTTGACAAGCAATAAACAAAAAATAAAAAGAACTGGAAAATATAATTTTTCTGAAATATATATTTATGAAACTGCATATTGCCATTTTTGAAAATAAATTATTAAAAATATAAATGCATTCTACTCACGTAAAATTTATTCATAACAGAATTAATTAGAAAACAGAACAACCAAATTCTATTTCATAAGTTCATAACTTAAAATTGAAAATATTTTATCAAGTAATTATTCAAAACTAAATTTGATATTTATGTGTATTTGTGTATATATGTAAATTTGCAATACTAAAGTAGATGAACAAATTATATTATAATAAAAAATCAAATAATGTTTGAAATAAAACTCAACCTAGATTAAAAATATACAGCATATATTAAATTTTTTGCAGTTTTGCATTAATTTTTCATTAAAATTCTTAGTAGTCTATCACAGAATTGCTTACAGATCATTTTGTGTAATAGATAATAATATACTTACCAGCTGTGTTATTCAAAACTGCTGCATCAAAAACATTTTTCTGCTAATAAGGAGAAAGCTATTATTGCAATCACAAAATAGAAATTAAATGGATGAATAATTTAGTATGACAATTTCCATTATTTTCATATGTATTTTTAGCTGTATTAAATTACTTGTCAATCCTCAGAGTTATATAACAATTGCTTTTAGAAGGTTATAATTTCATATTTCAGTTTTTCAATATTGATGTATTAAACTACTATACACTACATTACAAGACATTAATAATAATTTAATTTACATACATATGCATTTTGATTAAAAGATTTTCAGTCTTCTTTAGTGTAGCATATAATATATAATTTATCATTCAGTTCCAAATCCAGCAGACTATATATATATGTGAAATATGTAAATAAATCTTTCAAAGTTAGGAACTAGGTAATTTGCATATTGCATACAACCTAAAAAGGTTTGGGTCTGGAAACATCCCAGTCAAAATACATATAATATATAAATTAAAATTAAATAAATTGTAAGTTTCTAATGTAATCTGAAGTGAAAGTGATTAATAAGACACCAATATTATGTAGTCTTAGATATGAATTTGTAAAATGTTAACAATATTTCTCATGACTTATAAACATATCATAGGCATACTAAGTAAAAGAATTTGAAAAACAAAACTGTCTATTCATCTGTGATAAACAAAAAAATTTTCAAACATGAAAAAAGTTCAATAATACATTTGCTTGAACTGTCAATTATTTAAATGTTAAACCAATTTATTGCTGAAATGAAATATTTAGAAAAATAATCAAATTATTTACTAATGTCTTTAAATTCTAGAAAAAAAGTTAACTTCAGAAACTTTTATGAATACAAGCATATCCAAAAAATTATTTTAAATAACTCTTTATAATTTATTTTGGTAAAAATACATAAATAGCTTCTTTTATTCATACCTAATAAAAATAAACTAAACTATTTAAACTTGCATCAATAAATGAAAATATTTGAATTGCACTAATAAATAAAAATTAAACTAGTAGTTTAAATTTTTACAATAAAAAGTTAAATAAATTGTTACCAGCAGAGTCAAATCAGAATATATTTCAGTATTAATGATAGATGTATGAGTTATCAATTGCTATAAATTAAAATGAAATTAGAAGTTTTTCTCACAAAAATCATATTTGACATTTCTGAGAAAAATTCTTTTGAAAGCCATTTTTTAAATGAAAGGGTTTTTATGGAACAATAAAAAACTTCATCTGCATTGTTAACTGTTACATAAATATGTATCAATAAAATTTTGCATTCATATTAACGTAAGTGAACTAATATTTATTCTATTAAAAGAATCTTAGATTATAATTAATCAATCAAATTTAATTTAAAAGAAATTAATTTCAACTGCTAATAATTGAACATTAAAATAAATAAAATAACCAATCAATAATCATAATCAAAAAATACTTGAACATTGTTTTCTTGACTTTCATTCAATACAGTTATCATTTTTAAACTACATTGTTTGTACTTATAAATTAACATTATACATACAATTTTCAAAACTGATAAATCATTAATATTTCCTAAATCCACTAATAACATCATTAATTAAAATTTTGAAACATATTGGATGAAACTGGCTGAAAAAATAACTAAAATAATAATGTTTCACAATTATTCATGGTGCTCCAATATAAATTTTTTATGGTCATTTGCATTGTATAGTTAAGACTATGACTATATTAACTCAAAATAAAGAAAAAGAATGCTATATTTTTTGACAAATTTTGAAGTGCTTTTAATCTGTTTACATAAAATGGGCATACAATTTCTTAATTTCTTTTGCAGACAATAACCTATACACAGGTCTACTGAACAAAAATTTCTCAAAATTCTCTGTTTATAATTTTATTAGATCTAGATATTTAAAATTCGACATTCAATCAGTTACACACACATTTTATACAAGTATTAAGTGCCAATACTGTTACACAAACTTCTTATACTCAAAACTTTACTTATTAGCTATTAGTCTAACTGATTACTTTGACTTGTCAAATTGAAAATATTTCAAAGAATAAAACCTTTTCTTTCAATTTAACAGTAACTGGGGCTTAGTTTCTGGAATTCTTGGATCCCACATTCTGGGAAACAAAACTTTAATACAAAGCATTTCCTAGAAAATGATAAAAATTTCCAGGCATCCTATTTATGCAATTAAAATAAATAAAATTACAAATAATTAAAATGAATCAAAGAATTAAATATGATTGCATCATAGTTACTATCTTGCAACTGTCATGTTATATACTGTAACTGTTTCATTTTACAAGTTACAACTCTTAAGTCATTAAGTCATTAGAGCAGGTTTAGGTACTTTTTTGTACACAATTATATTAAAATTAAATCATTTTATACTGATTCTTTTTTCTGATGCCAAGAATTTAAAAGTACCATGAAATTTATCATATGAAAATATATTGAACTTTTTAGAAAGAAATGAGATGGTAAAATGCAATATTGTCCTTAACAGAGTTCTGCATTTAAGTTCACTTAAAAAGTTTCCATTTAAGACAATATTATAAATCAGCTTAGTACAGTTCACAGATTAGGCATCCATTATTAAATTCCAAAAAGGATTTTAATGCTGTCTGATAATGTGAGTATCTAGTGTTATTAAATTTTTATTTTATTAAAAAACAAGTAACTACACAATTTGTTTCCTATCTATTTTTGTAGTTTTTAAGAAAAGGTGTTAATAATAACATCAATTTAATATCTGATATGCAAATAATATACTTGCATAACTTGCAATTTAAAATAGACTATAGACAAGTCTTGCTGTATTACATGCACAAGACAGGAATCAGAAATTCAGACCTATAATAAAGGTGATGAAGACCAATTTCCTTGTGCTTATTTTTGAGAATCCAGAAATCAATATTTTACATTCCAATTTCTTGGAAATAAAAAAATTTAGCAAAAAATATATGTAAAATTGCAATAGCTGCAATTTAATTCCAATTCTGCAAATATAATTTTTAAGAATATGCTATTCATATCAACATTAAAAACATTTTGATAAATACTAATATTTGAATTTCTATTCCATAACTTTTTGAATAATGGAAGAATATAAATGTAATTAGCAAATGAAAAAGATCATAATTTGTTATGAAAACATATTCAAAATAATAAGTTATAAAAGCAATGTAAGCATTACTTCAAGAAATATCATTTTAAAAACTGTCAAGGATTTAAATCTCTGAACCTCTTATTAATCTATTAGTTACAGTGAAGATCTTAGTGAAGTTCTTTCCAACTCCGTCTCGTTGAGTT